AGTTCTTCACCTTCTCTATCTTCAACTAAATCACACGCGAGCCAGCCCCTAGCGGGCTTACTCGTTTCCTGTCCCATATCCCCCTATACAAAGCGTATAAAAACATATACAAAGTATAGGTAAAGGAAAATGAAACAGAACGTCTACAATGCTCGACTGCCACTAGGAAGGGTGGGTCCCTCCCAGTGCGTCTTCCCAAAACGTAGACCAGTCACTGAATCCGTGTACCCTCGATGGTAACCACGGATTGGAGCGGGGTGAGAAGTGTGTGACCAATCACTTCTCTTTCAAGAGAAATAGGAGTGGATAGTGTAAATAGTACAGGAAGTAGAGGAAAAGTAAACAGTGAAAGTAGAGACAGACCCAGGAGTTTGAATGACTCCACACTTAAGACAACATTTAATACAACATTTCAATTGAAATACAGTGCATGCATCAACAGTAATCCCTTTCCTTTACTCTTGTGGCCACCAAGCCACCTCCCTCAATCTCGTAGTGTCCCCGCTCGGAGAACAACTTTCGTAAGTTTCACTACCAGCGGCCAAGGATAACGACTAACACCGGCCCGAAATCCATATGCCTCCCTCGTTACAGCAGTCCACTAAGTGTGGCCACCTCTATCCTCACTCCCGTAGTGCTCCCTATGGACCCACCCACAAGTCACACTACCCCGTGGTGATGGAGACAACAATGCCTGCCCGAATCCACACACCACAAATAAATTGGAATGCCACCAGCCTCAGCGCTCGAAGCTGGAGGGTACCATAACCTCTGCAAGCAGAGCAACGTACACAATGAGGCTAGCTAGAATATCAAAGTGACGTAACCGGGAAACCCCAGGAGGCAAGTCCCCTCCACAGAATCCCCCAACCCTTCTTTTTCCTTACTACTGTTAGCTAGACAGTACCTAAAAGAAGTAAACAGGAAAACAGGACCCCTTTGGAAAATCCCCACAGGTCCACCCCCCCTTTTTTCCCAACAGTCTGGGCCAAGTGACTCCTAAAAAGGGGTAAAAACAGGCAACAGAAGACCCCCAGGCAACCACCCACGGGTCCACCCCCCTTTATCTCTAAAGAGGGAAAGAACAAAACATATACCACTAGCACACCCAGGCAACAGATAGACTAAATGCAGGTAAACAAATGGGTAACAAGACACCGGGCAAGATATTACCTGTCTTTGATGCCCTCCCGGGAAGCAGTCACAGACACGTGGACGGGTCAATCAAAGGGGCTGGAACATACCGGTGGCTCCTGCAGAAGTCTCTACCGTGTACTCAGAGGTGATCAGTCTCTCTTCCTTCCCCCCTGATTCCTCCGTCCAACAGCGTCTTCCTTAGGACGGCTTACCGGCGGAGGCCATAGCCCGATGCCCCACGTTGGATGGACGCCAGATTGATGTAGATTAATTTAGAAATAAACAAAAATGTTTAAAAGTCTATCTGTTCCTGTCCAAATCTGAGATGAATAAATTGCGTATACGCAGAAGTAAGTTCACACTGACACATGCAGTTCAGGTTAAAAACACTTCAGGAAATTTATTAGCATCTAGTTAAAAAGTGGGCACGCAGGCCTTTTTATATGCAAAATGACATCATCATTGAATATCAGATAATAACAAATAAACATCATTAATTGGGTTAAATGTTAAGTGGCTATGTCAGTGTCCACCCATTAATATTATTAATTGGCTCAGAGATTTGAGTGACTAGTGAGGCACCCTCCCATCATGGGATGTCGTCGCCATTGCTCTTTAGCACGAGGCTTACTCGGTGGAAAGGGGGGCTTGGGCGTCATTTTACGTAGTTAGTGATGTCAGTCTCGTGGTCTGTTCCAAGGTTCTTTTATGAATAGAACATTTCATTTTGTCACTGTTCTCCTGGCCTTGGATTATACTATGTTGCAAGTCAACGGAGATTACACTATATCACACTATACTAGACTATATCAAACTTTATTACACTATATTATACTTTATTACGCTATAATCACACTATACTAGGCCAATATATTATTATTATTTTATTATTTATATAGCGACAGAAAATTCTGTAACGCTGTACAATGGGTGGACTAACAGACACTTAATTGTAACCAGACAAATGGACGCACAGGAACAGAGGGGTTGAGGGCCCTGCTCGATGAACTTAAATGCTAGAGGGAGTGGGGTAACGTAACACAAAGGGTAAAAGTAGGGGTAATGAAATAGGTTGCTAGAACTTAGGTTATTTTTGACAGTTGCAGGAGAGGAATCATGTTGGGGGAGAATGAAAACCCGCTAACCCGTTACCTGAAGAAGTGTGTTTTCAAAGATTTTTTTTTGAAGGAGTGGAGACTGGGTGAAAGTCTAACGGAGAAGGGAAAGGAGTTCCACAGAAAAGGTGCAGCCCTGGCCTATAGCAATAAGGGCAAGTATGATAAGCAGATGGTTAATGTCAGCACAATGCACAAACAAACAATATACACCTCTGGGGGAAAAATTGAGCTTACTAACCCTTGCAGTATGCTGCCCTATGCCCACATAGTCCTCAACATTTAAGAATAATATATATATATATATATATATATATACATATATACACACACACACACACACACACCACCACCACCCCCACCCGATTAGAAGCAACAATGTACACCAATGTGTACACACTAGCACTCACACATACATGCACAATAACAAGTGGATATGTAGTAAATCCTTGACACGCATACTGACACATATAAATAAAGAAAACATATTTCTAGTAAAACTAAAATAAAACACTAGATCTAAAATATCCAAGGGTAGATCAATTAAGGAGTTAGAGAGTGTTCTATCAAATATGCAAGCCACAAAAAATGTTGTTGCTTCCGGAATCGTAACAGACTTTTGGTGCTTTATCTGACGCTGGACACCCTCACGCTCTGCATGAGGACCTCCAGTGTCAGATTTTTCCCCTATAGGGAGGTCTAATGTGAGTGACATCGGGATCCGGTAAGTAAAAAAAAAAAGGGGTTTTAACCCTTTATTTACCGGAGAGGGAGGGGGGAGTCAGAGGGATTGGTAGTGCCAGGAATACAGCTTTGTTTTTCAAGTCGATAACTCTCACAAGTATATCTCCAGCTGAGGTTGAGAAGTTTAAACATTTTGAAATAGACAAAATCACTCAGGGAATAGCTAGCATGCCGGCCTACAAATATCAGCCATGCTCGCATTAGGATTTTCCCATAGGAACGCATTATTTAATGCTTTCCTATGGGAATTCCAGTGACGCATAGATGCATTGCGTGAGCACGTCCAGCGTCGTTTAGGAGACCAAAAGTTGTCTATTCACCCGGAAGTTCCTCAGCATTGTTTAGGTGACCAAAAGTCACCTATCCACCTGGAAATCCCTCTAGTGGCTGTCTGAGACAGTAGGGAACACTAGGATACATAGTGTCCCCATGTATCCCAGTGTCCCCGTGTATCTCAGTATCCCCTAGTGTCTGTGTCCCCATGTCTCTCAGTGTCCCTGGGACACTAGGGCACACTGAGACACTAGGGGAGACATGGGGACACTGAGACACTAGAGGACACTGGGAGACATGGGGACACTAAGACACAAGGGAACACAGAGACATGAGGACACTATGTATCCCTGTGTTCCCTATTGTCTCAGTGTCCCCATGTCTCCTAGTGTCCCAGGGACACTGAGAGACATGGGGACACAGACACTAGGGAAACTGGGATAGATGGGGACACTATGTATCCCAGTGTTCCCTAGTGTCTCATTGTACCCATATCTCCTAGATTCCCCATGTCTCCCAGTGTCCCCGGATCCCCCAGTGTCCCCATGTCTCCCAGGATCCACCAGTGTCCCCATGTCTCCCCATGTTTCTCTGTCCCCATGTTTTCTGTGTCTCCAATAGTTCCCTATGTCTCCCAGGATCCCCATGTCTCTGTGTGCCCCATGTGTCTCCTAGGATCCGCCTGTGTCCCCATGTATCTGTGTGCACCCTGTGTTACCTGTTAAAGACTGCCCTTCCATTTGTCTCTCCCCATCCTTTACTTACCTGAGCTGCTGGCTGGACTCTCTGAACAGAGCTGCTCCTCCACGGATCAGTGAGTAGAGAATGGCAGGAACGTATATGCTATAACTTCCTATCCCTGTCTCTCTCCACACACAGCGCCGGTATTGCATCTAATCTCAGTTTATACTGAGAAAAATACTGGCATTTGTATTGATGGTAAAACTGCAATACTGGCACCGGCCAGATGACAACAAATACCGGCCAGGTGGCAACCATACCTCCAGCTATATATTGTTAGCAACAGCCTTTCAACATCATGCTATGGTCTTTACTACACATATATCACAAGCAGCACGCCACCTCATAGCTTTCATTGGAAACAAACTACAAATCTTTCTTCTCCAAGTTCGCTAGAAAGGATGTAACTAAATCATGTGTATTAACGTACAGCATATGCTTCAAAACTGTTTCCCAGGGGAAAACATTTGATATAATTTGGCATCCCTGACTAACCCATATATCAAGCCCAAGAACAGACTCTGCAACATGGTATACTGGGTCTACAATCCAGGGTCTCTTGTTTTGTCGTCTGCTGATGCAGGTAGTCACCACAAGGTTCTGCTGCGATTCGCTATGTTTCAAATAGCACTTGCCATTACACATTATGGGTTGTTGTTTTTGTTGTTGTTATATTTATGTTTCTATGCAAACACACTGCATGTTATGTACTAACTACATTGTACTTTATCCATGTCAAGCTATGTAAAAATCAATTAACAACTCACCGAAAAGAAAAAAACACAGCTCAACAGAAAGAAATTCTCCAAGTCAGCTATGCTTTCAGTTCAGCTCCTTATAATTCTCACACACAGGCCACAGTTCACCGTTCAGTGAATGAATCCTGCTGCATGCGGTACAATTTGTCAAGCAGACACTAGATGGCGCTGTGCAGAGCGCGGGCGGCTGGGGGGCTCCGGCCGCTCCCTCCACGCTGAGTTTTGTTGCCATGTGGGCGGTGCGCAGAGCGGAAGCAAAACATGGCTGGCTGTGGCTCACGTGTGCGGTGCAGGTCTCACAACGCTGGGGCCCTGATACAGCAATAGCGATACACAGTCTCCATAACAGTGTGAGAGTGAGTGATAGAATAGCCGCCCTGGGCCCGCACCGCTGGGAGGACATGATGTGCTGAGCCCGCAGCCAGCAGGGGAGCTCCATTCACACCGCGTGTCACCGGCCGCAGTGCGCCGAGTACCTGTGACCGTCATGGCGAAGAGAAAACTCGAGCAGCACCCGGTTACCCTCCGCTGCCCTCCCTGTAAGAAGCGTTCCTGTGAGCTGCCCCCATTATTAGACGAATGCCCCCCGCATGGCACGCGGCTCGGGGCCAAGAGGAAGCTGGAGTGTGACCCCGGGCTGCAGCTTGTCACCCCCTCGCCCTGTGCCAGAGGGACCCGGGCAGACAGCCCGGCAGACCGCTCACTCCCTCCCAGCAAGAAACCGAGGGCGGCGCAGACTGAGGGCAGCAAAGCTCCTGTTTATCAATGCCAGGTTAGCCTTGTTCATGTGGGCTTTGTTTTGTTAACTTGTATCAAGGAATTGTGTTGGTCACCGTTATAAAAGCAGGTTTCCCTAATAAGTACACCTGAGTACAAGTGTGGTGGGTGAATGGAATTGTGTTGATGTTGGCTGTGTTATTGTGGGTTGGTCCTTGGCTGAGTGTGATTGTGGGTATGTGTGTGGCTGGGTGAATGCGATTTTATGTGGCGTTTGGCTATGTGAGTGTGGAGTGATTGGCTTGCTTGGGATCATTTCCCAAAGCATAACAATCCCCCATGCTGATGCTGACATGTTGGCTTCACTCCCAGCGCACTGTTGCTACACCACTTACTTGCTAGGGAAGTTATTCAGTGACAAGGAGTAGGAAGACCGCCTGTCACTCAATTTATGGCTTTAGAACAGGGCTGCCCAACAGGTAGATCCCCAGATGTTGTAGAACTACAACTCCCATGATGCTTTGTCATTCTAAAGGCATGCAAAGCATCATGAGAGTTGTAGGTCTACAACATCCGGGGATCTACTTGTTGGGCAGCCCTGCTTTAGACCCTGTATGCCATTGGCACACCGGTCTAATATTGAGGATTTCATTGATGGGTAGTGTTGGAATCATTATTTTTATTTTATTTATTATTTTATGACTCTATTGTCACCCAGACTACTAAATCTCATTGCACTTTCGTTGTCCACCTTAGTTTTTGCAATAATTACTAGCAGAACTAAGATTGCTTCTAGGCACAGTCTATCAGACAGACACTAGAGGCATGTCCTGGATTCTAGCGCACTAGAGTCCCTTAAATGACACAGGACACTCTCCACGAGGACATTCAGGGTCGGTGAAAATAGGGTGAGTAAATTAAACTTTTTTTTTTTTTTTTTTTCTTAACCATTTATCTGCTACAGGGGGAGCATGTGGTAGGAGGAACTAGAGGGCTCTGTATTATTACAAACCACATGAATTGAGTGAACTTTTTTTAACTAAACATTTTGAGCCTTTTATTTCATCCTGCTTACACACATTCACTGACATACAAACACTCTCACTGATTCTGGCACACACTGTTTAACACACTCTCACTGACAAACACACATATACATACTCTCACCGACACAAATTAATTTTATTTATAGTTGGCTTTCTTTTTTTTTTTTTTTGGTCCTCTTCCGATCCTCCCTACTTGGAGTGGATCTCATCTAAATCTAGTGTTCTTGGTGGGCTCTTTAGTAGTGCCAGGACCGGCAAGACAGCATATCCTGGCATCACTGTAGGACGCATGAGAGAACAATGCTGGAAGAGCATGCAGGTTAGAGCCTCCTGCCGCCAGCCTACTCCCCTGTACACTATAGTGGCAGAACGGGTCGCTAAGGTCGCGGGTTCAACATTTCTCTCTAAGCTCCCCAAGAACTGACCACCTTAGGGTGCCCCAAGCGGTTGGCTATGCACTAAGGCAAAGTAGACTTACCCTACTGGCAGGTGCCTACTCTGTAAAATATACAGTTCAGGTGGCAAGGGAGCTCTGATTTTTTTTTTTTTTTGATTTTTTTTTTTTTTTTTTTAATCTTCTTCTAGCATTGCTCCAGTGAATGCCCTGCAGTAAACCTAAAGGGCATGCTAGGGAGCTGTGCTGGACAAGTGTGCATATTAAAGCACCCCAACTAGATCTTGGGGAGAGAATCCACTCCAGCTCTCCCAAAGTAGGAAGGCTGGGCTAAAAATAAACAAACCTTCAAAAACATTTTTGAGTGTGTTTGTGTGAGAATGTGTACCAGTGAGTGGATTTATGTCAATGAAAGTGTGTTGGTTAAAATTGTGTGTGCTAATGAGTACATGTATGGGTCAGTGAGTGTGTATGTTTAAAAGGATGAAAAGGTTTAAAAAGTTTTTCAATTCATGTAATATGTGTATGCACACAGTGAGGGGAAAAAAAGTATTTGATCCCCTGCTGATTTTGAACGTTTGTACACTGATAAATGATTTTAATGGTAGGTGTATTTTAACAGATAAAATAACAAAAAAAATCCAGAAAAACGCATATCGAAAAGTTATAAATTGATTTGCATGTCAATGAGCTAAATGAGTATATGATCCCTATCAGATTTCTGGCTCCCAGGTGTCTTTTAAATAGGTAACGAGCTGAGATTAGGAGCACTCTCTTAAAGGGAGTGCTCCTAATCTCAGCTTGTTACCTGTATTGATTTAGTAGACCATCGTCAAGCAGCTTGGTGAGGAGGTGACAAGAGTTGGTGTGATTATTCGCAAATGGAAGCAAAACAAAATACCTTTTGGTCTGGTGCTCCATGCAAGATCTCACCTCGTGGAGTTTCAGTGATCGTGAGGAATCAGTCCAGAACTACAAGGGAGGATCTTGTTAAAGGACCACTATAGTGCCAGGAAAACATACTCGTTTTCCTGGCACTATAGTGCCCTGAGGGTGCCTCTACCCTCAGGGACCCCCTCCCGCCCGGCTCTGGAAAGGGGAAAGAGGTTTAAACTTACCTTTTTCCAGCGCTGGGCGGGGAGCTCTCCTCCTCCTGGGCTGAATGCGCACGTGCAGCAAGAGCTGCGCGCGCATTCAGCCGGTCACATAGGAAAGCATTCATAATGCTTTCCTATGGACGCTGGCGTGCTCTCACTGTGAAAATCACAGTGAGAAACACGCAAGCGCCTCTAATGGCTGTCAATGAGACAGCCACTAGAGGAAATAGGGGAAGGCTTAACCCATTCATAAACATAGCAGTTTCTCTGAAACTGCTATGTTTATGAAAAAATGGGTTAAACCTAGCTGGACCTGGCACCCAGACCACTTCATTAAGCTGAAGTGGTCTGGGTGCCTAGAGTGGTCCTTTAATGATCTCAAGGCAGCTGAGACCATAGTCACCAAGAAAACAATTTGTAACACACTACGCTGTGAAGAACTTAAATCCTGCAGCACCCGCAAGGTCCCCCTGCTCAAGAGAGCACATGTACAGGCCCGTCTGAAGTTTGCCAATGAGCATCTGAATGATTCAGAGGCGAACTGGATGAAAGTGTTGTGGCCAGATAAAACCAAAATCAAGCTCTTTGGCATCAACTCAGCTTGCTGTGTTTGGAGGAGGAGGAATGCTGCCTATGACCCCAAGAACACCACCCCACCATCAAACATGCAGGTGGAAACATTATGCTTTGGGGGTGTCTTTCTGCTAAGGGGACAGGACAACTGCACCGCATCAAAGGGGCGATGGATGGGGCCATGTACTGTCAAATCTTGGGTGAGAAACTCCTTCCCTTAGCCAGGGCATTGAAAATGGGTTGTGACCCAAAACACACAGCCAAGGCAACAAAGGAGTGGCTCAAGAAGAAGCACATTAAGGTCCTGGAGTGGCCTGGCCAGTCTCCAGACCTTAATCCTATAGAAAATCTGTGGAGGGAGCTGAAGGTTCGAGTTGCCAAATGTCAGCATTGAAACCATAATGAATTGGAAAGGATGTGCAAAGAGGAGTGGGACAAAATCTCTCCTGAGATGTGTGCAACTACAAGAAATGTCTGACCTCTGTGATTGCCAAAAAGGGTTTTGCCACCAAGTACTTAGTCGAAGGGGTCAAATATTTATTTCACTCATTGACATGCACAATTCAAAATCAGCAGGGGGTCAAATACTTTTTCCCTCACTGTATACATGTGCATGTATTATTAATGTGTATTATAGTAAAGTATGTATATTAACGTCATTCAATTCCTTTGTATTCACGCTAGCAGATTTGCATTTAAAGCTCTTTAAAATATAGTTCTCCACCTGTGTGCTAGTGGCACACAGGGCCTTACTGCCATAGATAGTGACAGAACTTTAAAAAAAAAAGTGGAAGTTTGATGACTGTTGTCCTGTACATTTGAAGTTTGCTTTAAATTACTAACAGCTTGTTTCCACTGAACACCTGTGTTTTAAAACCTAGATAAAAACTTACAATTGCTGTGATTCATTTCAAAATTATTTCATTTTTGTAGGATGATGAAAATTTCCGTGAATACAATTCATACCAGTTTTGGAAAACTCCATTACCAGACATTGATTTTTCAGAAATAACAACTGAGACTACTGAGGACAATAAAAAGGTTGCACTGATCACCTCTACAGATTTGACACAGGACATGGACAGCTGACCTTTTCTAGTGACTTCAAGACTTCTGATGGTTTTGGGCAGCTCCAGATTATAACTCTGAGAAGTAGTAGGCTTTTGTATGCTAATTTTGAATAGTACATTTTAGAATATTTCATATATATTTCTCCTCTATTTTGCACAGTACCAAGCAGGAGTTTTAGTACACTTGTGTAGTTTTAGTACACTAGCTTTACTTCTTAAATGATAGAAAGCCATGTTACTGATCAAAGCAAAATTCAGGAACTTTGTAAATTGTTTATGAAGCTTGTATATAAAAAGTGGTTGTGGTGGTTTGAGTTAAACAAGAACTTTTGAGCACTCATCACTTCAGCTTTTGAATCAATGTTCATCTGAACAAGGCGTATCATTTTATGAATGGGGTTCTTTTTAATATTTGTGCTGCTAAACCCTGGCCTGTTAACCCCTTAAGGACCAAACTTCTGGAATAAAAGGCAATCATGACATGCCATGTGTCCTTAAGGGGTTAAACATAGGTCCAATAAAGCAGATGTTAAAATTCCAAATTTTAAACTTATGAGTACATTCATAATTTGGCTCTTTAATATAAAATGAAAACTGGCAATTAAATTCTAATGTGACTGAGCACACATTTTCTTGTGACATCATTTTTTTTAAATTTTTTTTTTTTTTAAATGGATCTAAATATATAGTAGTTAAATTAAGCATACCCAAGTTCTTTATTTGGTTTCCCCATGACATTTGTGTTTTGTAATGTGGTTTTGATTAATCAAATTATATTTCTTTTTGTAGGACGATGAACTCTTCCGTGAATTCAATTCACACCAATTTTGGAAAACTCCATTGCCAAACGTTGACTTTTCAGAAATAGAGACTTGTGAGGACAGTATCATGAGTGCACCAATCACATCTACAGACATAACAGAGGACATGGACAGCTGATGTGCAATTTTTGAGACTGACTGCAAAAGTCTTTGACCAATTCCAGTTGACACCTGCCAGAAACGTAATTTTTATAAAATTACACGTTTAACAGCGTGTAAGGTCAAAATGAAAACCATGTTATAATGTACAAAACATTACAAGTATTAAAGCACTGCTTAGGACCCTTTAAAATTTTATATAAGCTTTGGATTGCTCTAAGCAGTCACCCTTTGCAATAGCAACCCCATAGACATGAGAGCTTGAAAAGTTTCAGTCCTGTTGTAAAGGCATAATAGCTGTGATAGCCATGCTTGTTTCTTGACATGAACTTCGTAAAGATGTTACCAGGCAAGCAACTCAAAACATACCATCACCTTCTCCATGTTTCAAATTGTCTATGCCTTTGCATTGAGAAATGCATTGATGTGCTGACTGTGGAGATGAAGCCCATCAAGGTACTGCAACAATTTGGTTGTTCGTGTACCTCTAAAAGAAACAAAACCCTGATTTTAAAAAAATATACACGCCTTAAATTTTACAACTGCTAATAGCAGAAGTATAGTGTCTCTTGCACATATGCACATATGAATACATTTTGCTACTGAGAAAGGGTTTTGCGTAGGTTTTGCAATGCAAGCAATTTTATATCATACATTGTTTATATATTTTAAGTTTTGGTACTTCATTCTCTAGGTTTGTAGACTTTTGGGGACATTATAAGACAGTATCCAATGAAGCAATATGACCTGTTACAAAAAACACATTTTAGTTTTTAGTGTATTCTTTTTGTTAATTATTGCTATATGAATAATTAAAATTTTTGTGGACATTATGTTTAGTGTAATTATGCTTTGCAAAGTTGAAAATAACCTACATTCCATGTAGTACATATTAAAAATAAAAAACTTGTCAAAATAACTAAAGCAGTAGCACAATCTGCTTGTACAGCATGATAGGCTTCTTGTCCTGACAAAAATTTTTTAGAAAGATTGGCACCGCTGCTTAGAGCCCTGGACTTTGACAGTGGTACTTTCTACTATGCGTTTTTACAAATTGAACCCCAAAAGTAAAACGGACGCAAAAATAACTGATCTGGAGAAAAGCTCCTAATCTGCTGTACTGTAGTCACAAATTGGCTATTTTTGCTTCCGCTTTGCCTTTTGGATTTAAAGTGTGAAAATTTGGAGTTTGTGAAATTTAGAAGTGCCTCATCCTTTACCACCTATAGATAGTATCTCCCTTTTGTCATCTTCCCATAGTATGTATGGGCAGGCAGGGATTTCTGGTTGTGAGTTTGTGGTGTATTTTTTTTTTTTTTTAAGTTTGAAGTGAACACATGACGTAAATGGCATCTTGATGTTTCATCATGTTTTCTTTGCACCTTATATTACTTTAATTGTTTATGCATAATCCTTCATAAGTTAATCGTTATTTTAAATTGGTTTTCCTCCTGTCAGTTCATTATTCTAATGTCGCATTTCAAAATAGAAATACCTATCTATTTTTTTTTTTATATTATTTTTGTGCTGTGCAGAATCATTTCAGCTGAAATGACCTAATTATTTTGTCTGTTAATTCTCCTAATTAAATAGTTTGGGTATTTATACTGACTCTGTCCACTTGGTGATCTTACACCAAAGAACCCAGGACAATTTTCAGTGTATGCCTGGTTTGCTGCAAACAGAACAGACTACTATGTTGACACTGTGCCTCTTTTATAAAGAAATGTTTATGGGAAATCATCTTTTCAAAATTCAACTTTATTATTTTTATTGTACAATGTACATACAAGGACAATGAAACACAATTTGCCTCTGAACAGAAATGCAGCAGCAATTAATAAAAATACTATTTGAAAATGTACTCTCGGTATAAGCTTTTTTTGTTTGTTTTCACAATCTATACCCAATACCATAATTCCCCTTGTATCTAAGAAATACAATCATCAATCATTAATTGAAACCATTTTTAAGACTAATAACATTATAAAATAGTGTTGTCATATACAGATTTAGCATTCAACTCATAACTTCCAATCTAAGTAAAAATGATATCCCATTAAAACCATCATACATGTGCAATAAGTGTTCCAACTGCCGTTCAGTCAATGGATCTAGAGCAAATTAATACCCAATCTTTAACAATATACCTTTAACATAAAGTTCTAAATGTGAGCCCAAAGGCCACATGCATAAAGTGCAAAATGTAAGCACGTAAACCATATACACAAAGTAAAAAAAAAAATTAAATGTGCAAAAAATACGTAATGCACATAAAGTGCAAAATGTGACCACATTATCATGCAAAAAAGCTCACATTGGACTCATTGTGCAAATGTGGCACAATGCCATTTACACAAAGTGCAAGTTATATATTAAACCAGTGGTAGTCAACCTTTTTCTACCTACCGCCCACTAATGCATCTTTCTTGATGGAAAAATTTCTTTACCGCTCACCAGTTTTTGCGCAAGTGCAGAATATTTTTTAGAAAGGAGGGTGTTTCAAAAAAAATAAATGTACGTACATTTATCTTTTTATTTCTACTTAATGCACGTTTATAATGTTTCTAACTTTATAAAGTTTAATGAGAAAACAAAGTAAATTGAAATTACCTTTACTAGTGATTAATGAGATCCTTGAGGTTGATGCTGCGAGACTAAATATTTTATATCTGGTTCGATTTTCGTAAGGAACAAACAAAGGTCTCCTCTTTCGGTGATATTCAGACGACTTCTCTGTTTGCGCATAATATGATAACATAATATTCTCATCTGTGCATCAGCTCCCCTCCTCTCCCTCAATTCCCCTCCCCACTTTTTTTTTTTTTTTTCTTCAACCTTCCTTATAGCAATGCCCAGTAGGAAGGCTTAGCTAGGTTGCCCACTTACTATAGCCCATTATAACAGACAGACACACATACAAAGACACACACACACAAAATATTTTAGTCACCCTCCTATTACCTAAGTTTTAGGTGCAGGAGGGTGACTTTTCTTGGGGTCCAGTGGTGGCTCAGGTGGATGGTAGTCAGAGTTCCTACACTGACTCCCTGGTCTTCCTCCCGCGTGGTCTGTGTGTTAGCTGTGAGGAGTGACGTGCAGTGGCAGTGCTTTCACTCTAGTGGGGTAGCATGAGACAGAGTCTACAACCCACACAAGTGGCACAGGTAGTGTAGCTCATCCAGGATGGCACATCAATGCGAGCTGTGTTAGGTTTGCTGTGTCTGTCACCATAGTGTCCAGAGCATGGAGGCGCTACCAGGAGACAGGCCAGTACATCAGGAGATGTGGAGGAGGCCGTAAGAGGGCAACAACCCAGCAGCAGGACTGCTACCTCCACCTTTGTGCAAGGAGGAACAGGAGGAGCACTGCCAGAGCCCTGCAAAATGACCTCCAGCAGGCCACAAATGTGCATGTGTCTGCTCAAATGGTCAGAAACAGACTCTATGAGGGCCCAACGTCTACAGGTAGGGGTTGTGCTTACAGCCCAACACCGTGCAGGACGTTTGGCATTTACCAGAGAACACCAAGATTGGCAAATTCGCCACTGGCACCCTGTATTCTTCACAGATGAAAGCAGGTTCAAACTAATCTCATGTGACAGAGTCTGGAGACGCCGTGGAGAACGTTCTGCTGCCTGCAACATCCTCCAGCATGACCGGTTTGGCAGTGGGTCAGTAATGGTGAGGGGTGGCATTTCTTTGGGGTGCCGCACAGCCCTCCATGTGCTCGCCAGAGGTAGCCTGATTGCCATTAGGTACTGAGATGAGATCCTCAGACCCTTTGTGCGGTTAGCCCTGGGTTTCTCCTAATGCAAGACAATGCTAGACCTCATGTGGCTGGAGTGTGTCAGCAGTTCCTGCAAGACAAAGGCATTGATGCTATGGACTGGCCCGCCTGTTCCCCAGACCTGAATCCAATTGAGCACACCTGGGACATCATGTCTCGCTCCATCCACCGTCACGTTGCACCACAGACTATCCAGGAGTTGGCAGGTGCTTTAGTCCAGGTCTGGGAGGAGATCCCTCAGGAGACCATCCGCCACCTCATCAGAAGCATGCATAGGCGTTGTAGGGAGGTCATACAGGCACGTGGAGGCCACGCACACTACTGAGCCTCATTTTGACTTGTTTTAAGGACATTACATCAAAGTTGGATCAGCCTGTAGTGTATTTTTCCACTTTAATTTTGAGTGTGACACCAAATCCAGACCTCCATGGGTTGAAAAATTTGATTTCCATTTTTGTTTTAATTTGTGTGATTTTGTTGTCAGCACATTCAACTGTAAAGAACAAAGTATTTCAATATTTAATTCATTCAGATCTAGGATGTTATTTTTGTGTTCCCTTTATTTTTTTGAGCAGTGTATATATGTTGGAAGGCCATTTTGCCTGAATTTGTGGGCGTTATGACCCCTATTTAAACTCCTACCCCTTACTTACCTTTGCTGTTCAAGCTGTTTGTCTTCTCCATAGCAACCAGCACTTCCAGTCCGTAGTTTCCGCCAGCAGCTCTCCGACCTCCGTGCCCGCCAACCGGCTTCTATCCGACATTGCTACATAAGCATAACGTGGGAAATAGCGTTTGGCTATTTCCCACGTTTGGGCCTAAAAACGCAGGGATAGGCTCCCTTCATTATACTTACCCGTTCACTCACATTCACCGTTCGTGTACTTCTGTGTTTGTATGGCTAACAGCCGACCGCAGAGTACACACACCTTCGTTTGTCTTTCGCATTAACTAACTGCCAACCGCACTAAAACTTACGTTCGTCTATTTATTCGTATGTTTGAACAGCCGACCGCAATATAAATGGCTTTCATTTAGTCTTTTGTATGCTCCATTAACCGACCACAGGTATTTCTTCTCTGCTTACAGTCCTCTCGTTCGTTCGTTTAGCCGAACGCAGGAGGCTTTAGCGTTCACTAATCTGTTATGAATGTTTCTAGTTATGCCATTTGCTTAAACGAAAGCACTCACCCTTTCACATTATCTGTATTCTATATTAATTTATATGTTTAGTATATGGCTCTTCAGTCACTACTGGCTAAAATAGTAATTCTGTGTTGCACTATTTCCCGTCTATGGTCACGTAAAATTATGGGACACTATTTTTACACAGGGGATCTTCTTAAAGGCACAGTTAGACCACAATCACTTAATAAGTAACGGTATGCTAAATACACCACCAGGCACCATTATTTACCCCCGCTTGAACTTTCTCTATAATAGAACAAATTTATTTTTTCTTTCCCTAGTATTCAAACTAGTCTTCTGCGTAACTAAGGTCCCTCTGCTCACTACATCTCTTAGATGTAAAACTTAGTTTTGCATGTCATAGGTTAAGTTCTTATGGTCCTTTTTCACCAGACTCATTAAAGACCACTAGCACGATTGCAAAATCTGTTTCCTAAAAATCCTTATATACTGGTTCCTTAGTGAAAAGAAAAAAAACAAACCAAAAGGTACAAAATAATGTGAATCACCAAAGTAATAATAGAAATAAATTTAAATCAATACAAACTGGATTGTGTTGATATATTCTGAGTATAGAGGTCTCAGAATTTTAAAGGTCCCTGCTTTTGGAACAGATCATCAAACATTATTAGATGAATGGAACTTAGCAAGCGATGAATGTTCCTTTAAATTATGAGAAGCTTAATTGATTTCCAAAGGAGATCACTTAAGAAAATCGAAGAGTATATAAATGCTATTGAAGTTGAAATGGAAAACAATCAAGAGGATAAAAGGCTCTTAGAAGAGAAATATAAACAATTAAAAGATAATATAAAAGTGATAGATGAAAAAGTTTCAGATATAAAATCTTCCAAATATAGAAGGGATCAGGATAATTACTGAACAGGTTGTCAAAAAGATTGGTCTAAATCAGATAATTCAAAGGTTATGCAAAAAATTATTTTGCACGGAGGCCACTTGATATTCGACAACATAACACTAACACTAATAGAACTCCATATAGAAAACGTGTCACATCTTATAATCAGCACCAAAAAAGTTCCCCATATGCACAAAAATCTTTCACTCGAAATTCTACACGTACAAATAAACAGCAGGAAGATTTTTTAGAGAAGGAGCCTGACCAAAGAGAACATCGTCCGATATATACTATTCCCACGCAAAATCGTTTCACAAGTTTAAGATCCCCCATAAAGAAATGACCACATATAGAGGTAGAGGACCAGGGAGAAACATCTTACCAGGCCCTACCTCACAGACAACATTAAATAAAACTGAAGGAATTTTTAATTTATCAGGTGTTCCTTTAAATGAAGATCAGTTGTCATTGTTACAAAAAGGCTTAAAATTCGTTCCCACTAGTAAACCTAATCCATTTCAATTGTTTTTGGATAACCAAATTTTTCTCAAAAAATTGGCAAGAAAGAGATTTTTTGAAAGAATAAAATATGAGAATACTTTTAAAGAGAATATAATTAAAATTTCGCATTTGGAACAAGATACAGATAACTTGATTAACTCAAATGTCTATACAACATTCTAATTTAAAATTAAAATCTAACTTTTATCCATGGTCTGACCGTAACAAATATTTAGAGGTCTTTAATGAATCTGTACAAGAGGATTTTGATAAACGTATAGCTAAAATCAATAGGAAAAATAAATATCTGCCATGTAATCTTACTATAGCTGAAAAAAAGGCACTGCAGTTATTACAAAAGAACCATGAGTTGGTCATAAAAGAGGCAGATAAAGGAGGTACAGTAGTTCCATCCAAATCCTATTACATGGAGGAAGCCTATAGAATTTTGAATGATAATTATACTTGTAAATATCTAGATAAAGATCCAACTGAATCCTTCCTCAAAGAATTAGACATTCTTTTAA